TTCATTCCAAAACATGCTCTTTGTATGTGGATGGCTTGCCAGAAGAAATTGCCTACCCAAGATCGTATTAGTCAGTGGAAGCATGAACCCCCGGATTTAAAGTGTGTGTTCTGTAAATTAGTGATTGAAACGCATAATCACTTATTTTTTGAATGCTCGTATTCAAGCGGAATTTGGGATTGCATTAAAAAGGAGGTGGGATTATTGTCTTATCCGAACAATTGGGAGGATATTCTTCATAGAGGGTCCGCTCAATCTTGGAAATCTTGGTCTACGGTTCAGAAACTGGGTCTATCGGCAACGATTTATAATATCTAGAGGGAATGAAACAGGAAGTTCTTCGACAATTTTAATCATTCGAAGGATAAAGTTATTGCGGTGATCAAGATGCAGATTCTTCATCGTATGGCTTGGAAGACTAGGAGGAAGATTTTGAAGTCCAACGCTATGTGATTGTATGGGTATTGCTCTTTATGGGTTTTGGGTCTTTTGGGTTTTTCTTGCCTTTTGTAAGTTGGCGGRTGGTGCTGTTTTGTTTTGGTGTATTTCYCTTTGTCTTTTTTGGCTTCTTATGACTTGGTTTGTAAGTAAAAGTTGCCGTAGTTTCTCTTGCTGATTTGTTTTGTTTTGGTGACGCTTTTATTGTCTTTATAAAATTGCCTGGGGATTCCTTTTCCCCTTTCAGTATACTCAATTATGAACCATTAGTACCATTATAGATCAATTATACTCAAATAAGAGAAATAAGCCCATGATAGCCATTAAGATCTGAACAAACTACGTATTTCTTTTGTAACAACCCACATTTTCCCACATACAGATAATCCACATAAGCATACTCATAACACATAATGGAATATTGCTTACAAACATGGATTAACAACTTTTCTCAATACATATATGAGCAACTAAATTTCATCTATTCTAAACTTTTCCCTTGCCTTTGTCCTGTGAAGTATGATGACCTGCAAAACAGGTTAGTCCAACAACTGAGCGTTAGACCTAAAAGGTCTAGTGAGTGTATAAATTTCACACAAATAACATACCTTCCAAACTAGCAGTTTAGAATCAAACTTGTACATATATAAATATTTATCTATTTCTCTCGCGGTTACACTGCCATTTTATCTCTCTCGCGGTTACACAGCCTTTACATCTCTCTCGCGGTTACACCGCCATTTCATCTCTCTCGCGGTTACACCGCCATTACATCTCTCTCGCGGTTAAAAACACTAGATGGTCCTTGAACATTTAACTCCTAACCCTTAATCCGGATGATGCATGAGCGGTTTAATATGAACCCTGATCAGTACTTAAGTTATTTAAGACAAATCCGGACGAACCTTGTCCGGATTAAAGTAGAATCTGGATAACACTTGACGAGTTTAAGGAGTTATCCGGTTACTCTTTGTCCGGTTTAGGTGATATCCGGTCACCCTTCACCCGGTTTAAGGTCTTATCCAAATGATATGAAGATGCAGTTCATAAAGAGCAAATTCTAATAGCAAAAGAATTATCATGTAATAATCAATATTTTAAAGCAGTATACACTCAGCTTAGAACCGAAAATCCTAGTTTTGAAATCTCTTCTTCTTCTTCTTCTTCTTCTTCCAAATCCGGATAAAATTATAAAGAGACTTTTCTATAATTAAAAGTGTAAACCTTTTTCATCTGAATCCCACTTGCTATATATAGAAATTTTTGGGAATCTTGCTACCCTCAGCCGACTTCCCCTCTTTTCACAAGATTTATAATAAAATAAATTTATATACACACACTCCACCTCCATAAATTTATTCATACATTTTAAAACAAAAATAATTATACCAAATATTACATCTTTTATAGTTTGTTTGTGTTAGTTGGGCTTTGTACTTTCTGCCTCGTTGTGGCTTGGTATGGTGTGGCGACCAAGTTTTTTGCGTTTCAGTTTTGTCGGGTGTGGCTTTACGCCTAAACTCTATTTCTTTTATTGGTTTTATAAATTTGCTTGGTTTCCTTAAAAAAAAGATCTGAACAAACTAAATATGTCCCATTTAGTGTTATTTTGACCCAATTAGACTCCTTATAGAGCATTAAGGTGTCATTTTGACCCAATACGAGGGGTTTTCTCTCTAGGGTTTGCGTGAACGACGAAGGTGAAGATGATGATTCCGTTCGGTTTTTGCTGATGTTTGTGGCTCGTTTCCTTCACGTTTTGTCTTGCTTGGCGTGGCTTTACGGTTTGATTTCGTTTTGTCTTTCAACGGGAGATTTCTTTCACGGTTTAGGGTTTTGTCTTTTGGTGGCAGCATTAGGGTTTCTCTTCGTTGAGGTTCATTTTCTTGTTGTCCATCATCGCGATTCCTTTGTGATGTGCTTTTAGGTTGATTGTCGTTTGGTTCTTTGCTTCCTCTTCTCTCTTTGTTGGTTTGGTTAAGGTGCTCTCGGCTAGGGTTTAGCAGGTTCTGTGTGTTGATAACAGCTAGGGTTTTGCATGTTCCCTAGTTTCGTCGTGTTTTTATTGGGCTATTGCTATTGGATTGCTCTTATTCTTGTTCGTCGTTGTCTGAACTGGTGAACTTACGGCTTTGGCTAGGGGGTAGTACGTTAATCTTCTTGGCCGTCGTTCTGCATGGAATTTATTGGTTCTAGGGTTTGCGCTGTTTTGTTGCCGGTTTTTCTTTGCTTTGTCGTTGCTTTTATTGGTATTTCAATCTGGTTGTTGGAGTTTGTCTTCGAGTTTTGCATGCGTGTTTCAAAGGCTATTCGTGGTGAGCTTCTGTTTTGTTTTGGTTGTTTTGGTTTGGTTTCATCTTTTTTGTGTGAGCTGCGGATTTTTGTTGTTTTTCCTGTGTGCATTATCTAGTCTCCTTTTCTCGTGTCAAGTGTTTCTGTGGTCTTCGTTTCCTTTGTTGAGTTACTTGATAGAATATTCAGCACCTTCCTGTGAGGTCTTCGTTTAATTTATTGAGGAAGCTCTACGAGGGTTTCAGCGCCACGGCTTCTTGATACGGGAATTAGGGTGCTAGGTTTGCTTGGTTTGAGGGGAAGATGGTTGATTTTGCGGATGCAATTTTGGAAGAACCGGTTTTCCATGATTTTGCGGATGTGATTTTAGATAGGCAGCGAAATTGTGATGTTGGCGGCTCTTTATTTGAAGGTGTTAAGGAGGGGTGTTTTAGGAATGATATGGGTGATGTCAGCATCAAAAAACGGATATCGGTTTGGGAGAGATTATCTATGTTGGTATTAAATGGGAATCACTCTAAGGAACAAAAGTCGTTTGCGGCAGTTGTTGGAAATGCTCCATCGTCGGAATTGACATATTACCCGGTGGACAAGAGTGTGATTCCAAGGATTCATTTTCCTTTAGAAGTAACTCGTGATATGGCTAAATCTTTCCAGACGGTTCTTTATGGGTATTTTGTGGGAGCTCGATTTCCGTTTCCTGTTGTGTTACGTGCGGTTCAAAATGCTTGGGGTAAGTTTGGTTTTAAGGATGCTATGGTGAATGAACTTGGTTATTTCTTTTTTCGTTTTAATGATGAGGGTGGTTGTGCTCAAGTGGTTGAATCATCGCCCCTGATGATAAGAGGGGTGCCACAGTTTGTCTCTTCTTGGGATCCTTCAAAAGGACTTTATAAACCTGAACACTCTTCGTGCCCTTTATGGATCAAATTTTTCAATATACCTCTCGTTGCATTTAATAGAGACGGAATTAGTCGTATTGCTGGTGCGGTTGGGATCCCTTTACCTTTGGATGCTTGTACGGCAAGCACTTGTGATAAGGCTTGGGGGAGAACGAATTTTGCAAAGGTTTTGGTGAATGTTTGGGCTGTGGGTGATTTGCAGCGGGAAATAGAAGTGGTAATCCCGAGGCTTTCAGGTAATGGTGAAGATCTTGTAAAGGTGGTTTTGGAGTATGATTGGGTGCCGTCTCAATGCTCCATGTGTAAAATGTTTGGACATAAGGACTCTTCTTGTATGAAAGGGGTTGTTCGGAAACCAAAAGAGCATTCAAAGGTTTTTGAAAAAGAAGGTTTTCAGCATTCTAGAAGGCAACAATGGCGGCCAAAGTCAAATTCTGGAGTATCCACTGGCATTTAGATAGACTCCTCTAAGAACAAAGATGACAATTTTGTGGCGTCTGATACATTATTTGGTGTTGGGGTTTTAAAGCAAGTTCAAAATGTGATACCTCCGGTTGTGGACCCAAAGAAACCTATTGTTAGTCCCAAGGCAAAGACTGTAGGTTTTGATAGCTCAGCTAGTGATAGTGATGACCATATGGGGGGAACGTATTGCACTGTGGATGCTGGAAGAACGCCAAGAGATAGAGAGGGGAGTCAAAATAAAGTGGTTCGATCTATGGGGGGTCCCGATCTAGTCAAGGCGGTGGTCAAAGCTTTTCAAACAAGACGTGGTGCGGTCCAAACATCTACAAGTAATCGTTTCTCGTCTTTGTCTACTGAAGATTATACGGGTGACTCTAGTAGTGATGATGATATGGAGCTCATTGATACGGTTCGATGTGATTCTGGGGAAGGGGTGGCTGAAGAATGTTTGGGGGAGGGTGGTACTATCTCTTCAAATTCTCAATGATAAAGTTTGCTTCTTGGAATATTAGGGGTCTTAATGCCCTAATAAAGCAAAGAGAGGTACGTGATTTTATCCGTGTAAATCGTCTTTCTTTATGTTGTGTAATTGAGTCTAAAGTTGTTCAAAGTAACCTGGGGGATGTGTGTGATCGTGTGTTTGGAAGCTGGAGTTGGATTTCCAATGGTCTCTCTTGCGATCAAGGTACCCGTCTTATTATCGCTAGGGATCCATCTGTTTTATCTTTGATTGTGATTGAACAACATTTGCAATATGTGCATTGTGAAATCCGTATTGTTGGTAAGTCGGACCCTATTTTCTTTACATTTATTTATGGGTGTAATACGGGGGTGGAAAGGAGGGATCTTTGGAAGGCTCTTGGGAAATTCAAAATTATTATTACTAATAAAGCGTGGATAGCAATGGGCGATTTTAACTCGATGCTTTTTCCTCATGATGGGTTGGGAGGGTCGTCTACGCGTAATTCGGATATGGAAGAGTTTCACATTTGTCTAGAAGATGTTGAGCTTTTTGATATCCCTTATCAAGGGTGCCAATATACTTGGATTCAGAAGCCGTCAGGGGATGGAGGTATTCTTCATAAATTAGATCGGATTTTGGGGAATTTGGCATTTATTGATAATTTTGGGGATGCTTCGGTTGTTTTTGGACCAAGAGGAATTTCTGACCATTCTCCGGGTATTCTATCAATTAAAGTTGGGAGAAGAATTCGAAATCGTGGTTTTAAATTTGATAATTTCTTGACTTCTCATGAAGCTTTTCTTAGTTCGGTCGAGAGTGTTTGGGGCAAACCGAAAACAGGCTCATATATGAAAAAAGTTCTTCTGAAATTGAAAGATATGAAAGGGGTCTGTCGTCGTCTAAGAAATTCGTATGGCTGCTTGGATAAGAGGGTAACCGTTTTAAAGTCGGAACTTGATGTAGCTCAATTGGCTTGTGACTTAGATCCGTTTAATGTTTTACTAAAAGAGGATGTTGCTCACTTATTATTAGCTTATCAACAAGCTAGGAATGAGCAATTGGAAATGTTCMGACAAAAGGCGAAGATTTCTTGGTTGAATGAGGGGGATGGAAACACAAAGTTCTTTTTTCACTCCATGAAAGAGAAGCGCAATAGAAATCACATTGCTGCTATTAAAGACTCTTCTGGTATGGTTTTTGAACATGATGACGTGCCAAAAGCTTTTATTACTCATTTTTCTGGTATTTTGGGTTCTTGTGATGGGTTAGTCAATCCGTCTATGGAGGATTTTTCTTTTGATCGATCGTTGACTTTATCGGAATCTCTGCATTTGATCAGACCCATATGGATATAAAGTCTGCTTGATTTGATATTGGAAATGATAAGGCTCCGGGTTCGGATGGGTTTTCTTTGAAATTCTTTAAGTCTGCTTGGAGTGTGGTGGGTCGAGATATTCTTATTGCGGTTCACAATTTCTTCTACTCAGGCACTTTAGAGTATCAGTTGAACCACAATCTGCTTTGCCTTATTCCGAAAATTCCGAATGCTTCTTGTGTGTCTGATTTTCGGCCTATATCTTGTTGCAACGTGTTACTGAAATGTATTAGTAAAATCATTGCTGACAGGATGAAAGGCTCTTTGGATGACCTTATTAGTAAGGCTCAATCAGCTTTCATTCCTGGCAGACAGATTTCTGATAACATCTTAATGGCTCATGAGCCTGTTGCCGGGTACCAGAAACATCAGGAGGAACCAAAATGCGCTTTCAAGATTGATATTCGCAAAGCTTATGACACTGTTAACTGGCAGTATCTTCTGGTGATGCTGAAAGGACTGGGTTTTCATCCAGTTATGATAAATTGGATAAAATCGCTAATGTCAACGCCAACTTTCTCTGTGTGTGTTAATGGTCAGACGAAAGGTATTTTTCATGGAAAACGAGGGCTTCGACAAGGAGATCCAATATCTCCTTATTTGTTTACGGTAGTAATGGAAGGACTCTCGATGATCCTAAAAAAGTGTATTGATGAGGAGGTGAATTTTGCTTACCATCAAGGCTGTGAAGATCTCAAGTTAACTCATTTATGTTTTGCAGATGATCTTTTTATTTTCACTCGAGGGGATGCGATTTCGGTTGAAGTTATCAAACGGGCCCTTCAAATGTTTGAAGTTCGATCGGGTTTGTCTCCGAGTCTTGAAAAAAGTGAGGTATTTTTTGGCAATGTTGAGTTGGACGTTCAACAAGTTATTCGAAATTGCCTCCCATTTCGTCCGGGGGTGTTTCCTATTCGTTACTTGGGTGTTCTTCTATCTCCGGTTAGATTGAAGGTACGTGATTTCAATCCTCTTGTGCTTAAACTTAAAGCCCGTTTGATGAATTGGAAAAACAAATTCCTTTCCTATAGAGGTAGAAGACAACTCATCATTTCTGTCCTTCAGTCTATGCAAACTTATTAGATGTGTGTTTTCTAATCCCGGCGGCTACAATCCATGAAATTGAAAAAATTTGCCTTAATTTTTTATGGAATAAAGCGGAAGGGGTGTTGGGCAAATGCTGTATTTCTTGGGATAGGATTTGTTTGCCTGTTAAGAATGGGGGTCTTGGTATGAAAAGACTGGCGCTTTGGAATAGGTGTTTGTTGTTTAAGCATATTTGGGATATTCTTACTAAAAGAGATTCCATGTGGGTGTCTTGGATTCATTATAACTGTATCAGGGGGGGAAATTTTTGGGTGATAAAAAAGAGAAATGAATGGTCCTGGCTTATGCGGAATATTTTAGAGTTAAGACCTCATTGTAGGCGTTTCTTTATTTCGATTGTGGGTAATGGGATGTCTACGCATGCTTGGGAAGATRATTGGAGTGCACAGGGTCCCCTAATCCATTTGCTTTCTTATAGGTTCATAAATGGCCATGAGTTTCATAATAACTCTACGGTTTATGACCTAATGYAAAGATTTGGTAATGTGTGGCCAGATGAATGGACACAACGCTTTCCTCAGTTGYAGCAAATGCAGATTCCTTCCCCTAGTYCTTTTGAGGATACGATTAAGTGGCTTGAGCCTAATAATAATAGGCAGCCTTTTATGGTAAAGGTGGCTTGGAAAACTTTGCAAGAAGAGGGTCCTATTATGCATTGGTACAAGGTGGTTTGGAATAAAGCTTACATACCTAAACATGCTCTCTGTATGTGGATGGCATGTCAGAAAAGACTACCGACCCAAGACAGACTTTGCCAGTGGAAGCATGAACCTCCTGATCTGAAATGTGTGTTTTGCAATTTGGTGATTGAAACGCACAWTCACTTATTCTTTGAGTGTTCTTATTCGAGGAGTATTTGGGAGGAAATAAAGAGGGAAATAGGGATCCAGATATGTCCGGACAATTGGGAGGATATTCTTAATATTGGACAATTGCAAGGATGGAAATTGTGGTCTACGGTTCAAAAACTAGGTATCTCGGCTACTGTGTATCACMTTTGGATGGAAAGGAATAGAAAGTTTTTTGACAATCATAACCGTACTGGAGTTCAAGTTGTGGCTGATATCAAGATTCAGATTCTTCAACGAATGGCTTGGAAGACGACAAAGAAGCTTACGAGAATTAAATATGCGTGATCATGAGGTTGGTGAAGAAATTCGTTTYTGGGAGTTTTCGGTGATTTRCYCTTTATATACTTTGGTTTGTTTTATTTTTCTTTTTTGGTGCATTTCCCTTTGTTTATTTTGGCTTCTTTTGGCTTGGTTTGTAAGTCAAAGTTGCCGTAGTTCTTCTTGTTGATCTGTACTCTCTTTCCATGTTTTACTTGCTTTATAAAATTGCCTGGGGATTTTCCCCTTTCAGTAGACTCCTTATAGAGAAATGTGCCCATTAATTCTATTTGGGTCTACAAAGACTAATTTATGATCTAGAGAGTCATGTTGACCCAATTAGATTTCTTAAGGAGAAATAGGCTAATTATGTCCACTAAGGGCAAATGAACCCCTTTACAAATGCATTAGTAAAGTCATTGTTAATAGAATGAAGCGTCATTTGGATTCTTTAATTGATGGGGCCCAATCGGCTTTTATCCTGGGTCGGAGGATTACGAGTAACATTCTTGTGGTTCGTGAGCTGGTATCGGGCTACCATTCTAGGGATGGCCCTCCGAGATGTGTGTTCAAGATTGACATCAAGAAAGCTTATGATACGATGGATTGGCGATTTCTGCTTATTATGCTTCAGGGAATGGGGTTCCACCCAGTAATGGTCAAATGGATCAGGGAGACGGTTTCAACTACTTCCTATTCGCTTGCAATTAATGGCTATACTTATATGGGTTCTTCGTGGGGGAAGGGGGCAGAGGCAAGGAGATCCGTTATTCCCATATCTATTTACGATCGTGATGGAGGGGTTCTCTATGCTCCTCAAGCAATGCATTCGGGAAGCTGCTGATTTTAGGTATCACAAAGGTTGTGAAGATTTGGATTTAACGCACCTATGCTTTGTTGATGACCTTTTCGTGTTCACGAAGGGAGATGTTCAATCGGTTGAGGTACTTAAAAAGGTACTTTTTCTTTTCCAGAATCGCTCGGGGTTAGCGCTAAGTCCTTAGAAAAGTGAGATATTCTTCGAGAATGTTCCTCTTAACATTAAGGAGGTCGTTCTTGAGTGTCTTCCTTTCAAGCTTGGTTCTTTTCCATTTCGGTACTTGGGAGTTCCATTGTCCCATACCCGTTTGAGGGTCTCATTCTCAATTGAAAGTCTACATTAAGGAGGCCGTTCTTGAGTTTCATTCGCCCTTCTTGATCATTCGGAAAAACTCCAATTGGTCGTGGGTTTTACACAAACTATTGGACTTACGGCCTTAATTGTGACGATTTCTGATCTCCCAGATTGGTGACAGACGGGATTCTAATGCGTGGGAGGATACTTGGCTCGCCAGTGGTCATCTTTCTTCCTTCATCTCCTACAGATTCATCCATTCTTGTGGGTTTTCGACTGTCACTACGGCCGGGAGTTAATTATGAGTATGGATGTGGAGTGGCCGGTTGATTGGTGTAACAGGTATGTTGAGCTTAATACTGCTCCTTTGCCGTCTTTGAATGATTTTGTTCGTCATATAGTATTATGAGGGGATATCAACTATGGATTGGATTTTACGGTTAGTACTGCTTGGTCCTCGTTGGAGGGGAACCACCCGGTTGTACCTTGGTATAAATCGGTTTCGTTCTCAGATCATATTCCTAAGAATGCTTTATGTCTTTGGCTTGCTTGTCATCGACGTCTTCCCACCTATTTTCTAGTGTCCCTTTTCAATAGAGGTTTGGGATAGCATCTTACATGTTTGTGGACTGGATGAATATGCCAGACTCGTGGGATCAAATCCTGGAAGCTATTTCAGACTCGAGCCGGTCGCCAAAACGTTTAAAGAAGAAGCTTGTGCTTGCGGCTTCAGTTTACAATATCTGGCAAGAACAGAATCGAAGACTCTTTACTAAGAATCGCTGCACAGCTGTAAAACTTATGAAAGAAATCAATAGCAAAATTTCCATTCGTGTGGCTGGGGAGACGGGTTGAGCGGAATGATGGTTTACATGAAAGATAGGGTCTTGATAGGGGGGTTTTTATGAGGTTTAAGCTTCTTTTGTTTATTTTTTGTAGCCTGTTTGTGTCTGTTGGGCTTTATATCTTTTGGCTTGGTATGGTGTGGTGACCAAGTCTTTTGTGTTTCAGTTCTCTTGGGTGTGGTCATTCGCCTAAAATCTGTATTTCTTTTATTGGTTTTATAAATTTGCTTGGTTTCCTTTCAAAAAAGAAAAGAAAATGAACCCTCAATTACTCCAATTAACGTCTGATTAGACTAAGTATGACGAATTTAGCACACATTATACCCATTTAGGTATGATCAAAACTAAATCTGACCCAATTAGTGTCATTTTGAGCCAATTAGAGTTATTAAACGTGGTCTACAATTGTTTGAAGAACGATCGGGCTTATCGCCAAGTCTGGAGAAAAGTGAGGTGTTTTTTGGGAATGTGTCAATGGAGGTTCAGAGCAGTATTCGTGATAGTATCTTTTCGGCCTGGGGTTTTTCCTATTCGTTACTTGGGCGTTCCTGTTTCACCGGTTCGTCTGAAGGTACGTGATTTTAACCCCCTTGTGTTAAAGATTAAATCTCTTTTGTTAAATTGGAAGAACAAATTCCTCTCTTATGCAGGGCGTCGTCAACTTATTATCTCAGTTCTCCAATCTATGCAAACGTTTTGGATGTCGGTATTTCTTGTACCGGCAACCACGATTCATGAAATTGAGAAGATTTTTCGTAACTTTTTATGGAGTAAAGCGGAGGGACAGAGGGGTAAATGTTATGTTGCTTGGGATTCTATTTGCTTGCCTGTTCAGAGTGGGGGACTTGGGTTGAAAAGACTTTCGACCTGGAATAGATGTCTCCTTTTTAAACATATTTGGGATATTTTAAGGGACAGAAATACGATGTGGGTCTCTTGGATTCAATTTCACTGTGTTCGGGGCCGTAACTTTTGGGTTATCAAGAAGAGGAATGAGTGGTCTTGGATCCTTCGGAGTCTCTTAGATTTAAGGCCTCACTGCCGACGCTTCTTTATATATGATGTGGGTAATGGCTTATCGACGCATGCTTGGGAAGATACTTGGAGCGAGTTGGGACCACTTATTCATTCTTTGTCGTATAGATTCATCAATGGGCAGGGTTTCCACAATAACTCTACGGGTTTTGATGTAATGCACAGGTTTGGTTCTAACTGGCCGGAGGAATGGATTCAACGTTATCCTCAG